AACCCAAAGCGAGACTGTTTACCAGAATCATCTTCCTTGGCAGGCCATGCAGTCTGATTATTTTACCCCTTGGCCCATAAACAAAAGGCTTAGCATCTTCTCACCTTGAGATAAATGCCATGCTCATCCCAAATGCCATGCTTATCTTTCTGGGTTTCATTATTCTATGTCTTACATCCATAATTCTTCCCCATCTTGTTAAAAATCCAATTCCCTTGAGCAAATGTCTATTACATTTTGTCCAACCTTTGTAATTATCAGTGAAAGAGATGGTCCTAATTACATAGTCTACCATTACAGAAGCCTTTAAATATAATTAAATGGTTTGTAAAGTGGGTCCAAATGTTTTTTATCAGATACTTCCATGGGGAATCTTTCCCAACAATATAATTTATTCAGATTTATGGAAAAATCATTATTAAAAATTCATTCACAGGAATTGTTTATGGCTATTCAATGCATAGAGCCAGATATAAAATATTATATGGGTGAAAGCAAGATTGAGGGTCTCACTAAAGCATTGAAAGAGACTTTATTTGGAAGCTTTTACAAATTCATTTTTAACACCCTTTCTATTTTATTTTTTTATATAATTACATAATGTAAAGAAAATATTTTTTCACCAAGCCCCATAGAGATGCCCACAAAGCCCCTCCAGTTTACCTCAATGTGCCATATAAATATTATCCTCTATGTGGGCCATAGCATGGAAAAGTTTGGAAAGGACTGACCTACCAACATTTATTTTACATCCATTTTTTTTTTCTTGCTGGCAGAACTCACTTTTCACCATACAGAATGAAAAAACCAACATTTGTTGTCCCATATGTTTTGCCTAGTGGGGAGTCACGTGGCCCAATCTTGGCCAGTGGAACCTGTGGAGAAAATTCCTGAGGACTTGAAATAAAGATTTGCTTTCCTTAGAAAATCCGATCAACCCCAGAAAACACTCATCTTATTCACTGAACGTGGTATCTTTGTTCCTAGCGATACCAGAACTAATGCAGCCATGTATGACCATAAGGCTAAATGTTGCTGATATGCCGAGGATATCGGCATGGAAAGATGAAAAGCACAGAAGCCCCCAAAATTTGTTGAGCAACTAAATGAACCTGGAATATCTCTGCCTCTGTGTATGTATTAGTCTGTTCTCTCATTGCTGTAAAGCAATGAGAAATACTTGAGACTGGATAATATATAAAGAAAAGAAGTTTAATTGGCTTGTGGTTCTGCAAGCTGCACAGGAAGCAGAGTGACTCCTGCTTCTGGGGAGGCCTCAGGAAACTTACAATCACGGTGGAAGGTGAAGGGGAAGCAGGCATATATAACATGGCTGGAGCAGGAAGAAGAGAGAGAGGGGGGAGGTGCTACACACTTTTAAGCAGCCAGATCTCATAATAACTCACTCACGGACACAGATCCAAACCATATCAGTCTGGTTATATAAGAAAATAAATGTCATTATTTCAGCTCATCCTATTTGGGTTTTCTGTTACTTGCAACCACAGGATGTTAGTTAATAAACCCACTTGTAGTTTTAAAGCATGACCCCCAAATTATTTGACACTTCTCCCATTGAGAAGTGGATTCTGTGTCCCCTCCCCTTGAATCTGAGTGAATGTTTCAATGATTAGAGTATGGTAGAAGGGCCACTGTGTAACTTGTGACACTAGGTGATAAAAGGTGACATATCTTCTGCCATGCTCGATGGAACACTCATGCTTGGAGCTTTGAGTTGCCATGTAAGATATCTGGCCACCCTAAGACTGCCATGATGGTAAGAAGCCAATCCACTCATTGGGGCCATGTGTTGTTGCTCCAGTTGGCAGTGCTAATATTTGATTCATCCAAGCCCAGATATCAGACATGTGAATGAACAAGTCTTCAGATGATTCTGGTCCCCACTACTGAATTTCCTCCAGTCTTTGAGTCTCCCCACCTGAGGCCCCAGACATCGCAGAGCAGAGGCAAATTATTTCTGCTGTGCCTTGTTCAAATTTCTGATCAAAAGAATCCATGAGCATAATACAGTAAATAAACTGCTAAATTCTGGGGTAATTTATTACACAGGAATGATAACTGGAACAACACTTCTTCATCTCACTTTATATGCATCATGAATGATCACATAACACAAACTTGAGATGTGCTGGTGCAGCCCTTGCAGTATTAAGATTAGATAACTTAAGGATTTAACCCACCCAGGCATAGAAACAGTTCTTTAGGGAAATAAAACTGATGATGTTCACAAAGACACTACGAATCCTTCTCATGAATAGACTGCTGGAGTTGCTCATAGGATGAAAACTTTGGTAAAAAGAAATTCTTTTTCTTTTCTTTTTTTTTTTTTTTTGAGACGGAGTCTCGCTCTGTCGCCCAGGCTGGAGTGCAGTGGCCGGATCTCAGCTCACTGCAAGCTCCGCCTCCCGGGTTTATGCCATTCTCCTGCCTCAGCCTCCCGAGTAAAGAGGATGCGCTTCCTCTATGATTACAGTCACTTTTCTGCAGTAACCCTGCATGATCCACAACTTAGGAGAACCAATAACAAACACCATATTGTCAAGTAAACAGCCCTGTTTGGTTCTAAGTTCATAAAATAAGAGCCTGAGATTCAGAAGCCCGGGAGTCCAGGTAACACCCATGTGTCCTATAGAAGTTACTTTACCTTTTCACCTTCAGTTTTATTTGTAAAATAAGGGAGTTGGACTAGAAGACTAATGGTTTCCAACTTTCATTCTGGGGAGCAAAATAGAAGTGTTGTGGTTGGCTGAATAATGCTCCCCCTCAAAGTTGTCCACATCTGAATTCTGAGCATCTGTGAATATGATACAGAGTGCAAAAGACACATGGCATATGTGATTAAATTAAGGGTCTTGAGAGGGAAACAGGAGGGCAAGAGTTATACATCTCTCCTTTGTAGAGATGCCTCACATCTCCTTTGAAGCAGAGGCAAGACAGGAGAAAAGATACTGCTGGCTTTGAATTTGGAGGAAGGGGTCATGAGCCAAGGAATGCAGGCAGTCTCTAGAAGCTGGAAAAGGCAAAGAAACAGAGTCTGTCCTGGAGCCTCCAGAAGGCATGCAGCTCTATGGGCCCATTTTAGACTTCTGACCTCCAGAACTGAGGCAGCAGAATAGGGTCAGGAGGCAGGGAACTTAAAACTGTTTCAGGCTGACTTCCTAGAACTAAATTGAAAGGAAAACCCTGGCCGGGCGCAGTGACTCATGCCTGTAATCTCAGAACTTTAGGAGGCTGAGGCAGGCAGATCACCTGAGGTTGATGAAGTCGGGAGTTCGAGACCAACCTGACCAACATGGAGAAACCCCGTCTCTACTAAAAATACAAAATTAGCTGGGCGTGGTGGTGCATGCCTGTAATCTCAGCTACTCAGAAGGCTGAGGCAGGAGAATTGCTTGAAACCGGGAGGCGGAGGTTGCGGTGGGTGAGCCGAGATTACGTCATTGCACTCCAACCTGGGCAACAAGAGAGAAACTCTGTCCCCCAAAACAATAAAAATAAAAATAAAAGGAAAACCCTAAACTTCCATGCCTAAGTAACAAAAGGACCAGAGGCTATTCCCTTTGCAAACCCCCACCTTTTCTGCGGGGCCGATGGGAAATTTAAACTACCTCTGATTGGTTGCTTTTTGCAACCAATTAGACATTTGCAAATTGTTTTTTGCAACCAATCAGACACTTGCATAGGAGTGTAACTTTGTAACTTCAGCCTCTGATTGGTTGCTGTCTGCAACCAATCAAACTGATTATGGGCCAAGTCTTTGAATAGAAGTGCAACTTTGTAATTTCATTTTAGCCTCTGATGGTTGCTTTCTTGCAACCAATCAGATGTTTGCATAAGAGTGTGGCCTTTGTAACTTCACTTCAGCCTCTGATTGTGGGCTACTACTTCATTTACATGGGGTGCACACCAAGTGGCCAATGGGAAACCTCTAGGGGGTATTTGAACCACAGAAGATTCTGGATCCCGGCCCTTGAGCAGCTTCTCTGCCCACTCCCACCCTGTAGAGTGTACTTTCGTTTTCAATACATCTCTGCTTTTGTTGCTTCATTCTTTCCTTGCTTTGTTTGTGCGTTTTGTCCAATTCTTTGTCCAAAGCGCCAAGAACCTGGACACCCTCCACTGGTAACACAACTGTAAGAGAACAGGTCTGTGCTGCCTTAAGGCACCACATTTCTGGTAATTTGTTACAGTAGCAATAGGAAAGTAATACCGTGGTTAAGAGCTTGGGCTCTGCTATCAGACTACTTGAGCTCAAGTCCCTTTTCTACACCCTACTGGATGTATGACCTTGGGCAAATTAAATTCTCTATACCTCAGGTTCATCTTGATAAAAGCAGTGATGGAAGAATTAACTCTTCTGACTTATTGTGAGGTTTTGAGGAAGTGTCTAGGATCCTCTGGAAATTAGTAACTTATTTTAAAATTACTAATTTAAAATTACTACATTTATTTTAAAATGTAGCCATTGTGCTCTTGCTGAGAAGCATCTACTTTAGGAGCCGTGTATACAGCATCTCATCTGATCCTTACAACCAGTAGTGAAATAGGTATGATGGTAAGTTTCCATATGAGAAAACTGAGGCTGTGGGAGGTGAATTTTTCCAAGTAACATAGCTAGTAAGTGGACAAATCAAAGTGACTGATTTACCACGAAATTAACTACATTTATGTGCCAGATGATGGTGAATGAACAAATACATGCAAGTAACCACAGCAGTGGGCACTCAACCAATAGTGTGGAGTCTAGACTAACTGCCACAGGTCACCCCATCTGATCCACACTGGCGCCATTCCCAGTTCTTTAACATTCATCCCTTGTTTCCAGAAAGGGCAGAGGAAGCAAGGAAGAAGTGCGTGGCCTGAAGTGACGCCTGGCGTTGCCCGGAGCCCGCCCAGCGCTGCCAGGTGACGCCACTGCGACACAAAGGCGGGGAATGCGTAGGGAAAGGCCCTAGGCCATAAACGGGGGTGGGGCCTCCCCGGAGGCCAGTGCGCGGCCGCGGTGCTCCACCGGCGCGTCGCTCCGCCCCCAGGGAGAGCCGGCGCTACCATGGAGGAGTACCATCGCCACTGCGACGAGGTACCGCCCCTTGGCTACCTGGAAGCGCCCCCCACTCCTGCCTTCCTCTGCGCGGGGCTCTTGCCGAGTGGTCTCCCAGCGAGGGCGGCCCCAAGAGTTGGGGTGCGGCGTCCTCCGAGCCCGGGTCCTCTCCGCAGGGCCAGGGATCCGCCCCGCCCTACCCGTTCTCCCCACCCCGAAGTCCTGAGATTCGGGGTGGCAGGGGTGGCCAGGAGCGCGCGGATCAGACGGTGGGGTCGGGGCAGGGTTGGGAGGACGAGGCCTGACTTGGGTGCGAGGAGTGGGCATGGGGTGACGGGCGCCGCCCTCCTACCGGGCGGGCCTCGAAAACGGGTCCTCCCGCTGCTTCCTCCGTCCCTTGGCTTCCTCAGTGCAGGTGCTGCAGCCCCCATGGCTCGGGGTCTCGGGGTCCTGGTGGCACTGCCACTCCTGCTCCCGGTGATGCTTGCCTGGGTGGGCTGGAAGGAGGTGCTTTATGGATTACGAGCCCTTGCTTACTGACTCAGGCTTTCCCCACCCTCACCAGAACCCCATAATGTCAGTTGTCATCTTCCTGTTATTGATGGGGACTCCAAAGAAAAGACTTAAGTTGTCAGACCACTGTATAGTACTAAAGTGATATTAATCTTGAGTTATCAAGTATTTTCATAGTCTTTAATTTGGGAAAGGAATTTTTGCCTATAAATTTTTGCCTAGCATAAGTTAAAAACAAAATTGAAAATAGTCTATTAAGCATTCTCTTCTTATGAACCACTTTATTCTCTCACTTAGCTGAAACCATATCTATATTCTTATAACACATAACATCTTCATAGCCACCTCTTGCTTATTTCCTACGTGTTACAATACAATGATTCTTAATCTAGGATGTTCATTAGAATCACCAGTATAAAGCACTTTAAAAATATATATATAGACTTGCAGGCTCTCCCCAGACCTCATGAGTCAATCTCCAGGGAGGTAGGTAGGGAAAGCATTCAGTATTTTTAAGTGTTTAGGGGCAAGATTGGCCCCTTCTGTAGACCCGATGCCCTTTATCACTGTGGTCTCCTGTCACTAACACCTGTCTAGGCCAGCCTAGGATATTCTGTGTAGCGTCATATCTGCAAGCCTGTGTTGAAAGCAGCTTTACCTTTTGTTTCCCCTTTAGGTTGGCTTCAATGCTGAGGAAGCCCACAATATTGTCAAAGAGGTGAGTCATACATTTTGCTTCTCTTGAAGCTTGCTGCATTGGTGGAGACTTTTAAAAGCTATATTTTGAGTTTCAGTACAAACTTAGAAACCTTACTGTTAAAAGAACAAGATTTTGCTTTATTTTATTTTATTTTATTTTATTTTATTGTTTTTTGAGACAGAGTCTTGCTCTATCGCCCATGCTGGAGAACAGTGGCACGATCTCGGCTCACTGCAACCTCCACCTCCCGGGTTCAAGCAATTCTCCTGTCTCAGCCTCCCAAGTAGCTGGGACTACAGGCGTCCACCACCACACCCGGCCAGTTTTTGTATTTTTAGCAGAGATGGGGTTTCACCATATTGGTCAGGCTGGGTTCGAATTCCTGACCTCAGGTGATTCACCTGCCTTGGCCTCCCAAAGTGCTGAGATTACAGGCGTAAACCACCACACCAGGCCAAGAACAAGATTTTAAATATTTATCCACTAATTCTTTATAGGGGTCCTTCTGTGTTTTGTTGTGTGCTATCAGCATATTGGGGCTTATTCTGAAAGAGATGCTTAAGGATTTTCTTAGTCTAGAAAACTGGTTTAAAATTGATGCCCTGTCTTTTGGATAAAATAACTTTTATTCCAGAAGGCAAACATTATTTTAAATGTTAATGCTATAAAAGTGTATGTATGTGTATATATATGTGCACACATGTCAACTTTTATAATGTAAAGTATATGTATAATATATATGTATATTATGTAAAATAGATAACAAAAGCCCTAGAAATATCTGCCTTTGGGCATGTACACTTTTTTGCCCAATATAATTGGAGAAATGATCACTTAACATCTTTTAAACATTGATATGGTAGTAAATCAAAATTTTAAGAAAAATATTTGAAACTCCTTTTAGGCAAATAGAAAAGAAATTGTCTTTGGGAGTTAATTCTGCAGGGGAACTTTCATTATTTTAGAGGTATCACATACAGACTACAGTATGGGAAAGGTATTTTTTTAACACCCAGGTCTGGCCTTACACAGCGAGAATTAACTCAAGGTCTGAGAGCACTAGACAGGCACCTGAAAATCCTGCCATATTTTAATACTTCAGAATTATGTATTCTATCTATGTAGCCTGGGAGTATTTAATTATTAAAAGTAGAAAGCAAAGGTTTTTAATACCTTTACAATGTAAAAGCACAAATGAGGGAAACTGGGAGGTGGAAGAGGGAGTGGAGGTAATGAGAAGGGAGTGATCTTAGTTTTCAAAGTGGAAAGTCAGGAAAGACTGTCCTTGGTTGATGGAACATAGAAGAAAGAATGCTGCGTTATTTGGGATTCCATTTAAATAGTGCCTTCTTCCTTAAGTTCTGAACCAAATGAAAAGAAAAAGGAGCCAATAGGAAGAGAACAAAATACTACCTTTATTACTGATAAAAACTAGTTTGGTGATTGTAGCTTGTTTTGCTAACTCCCATTCAGTTCAGCCCTGGGAAGAGTCATCCAAGAGAAAGTTTGAGTCAGCAGAGAGAAACACTTGTTCAGGCTGGTGCCTTTCATTTGTTTGGGTAGAGAGGGAAGGAGAAACGAAAGCCCAAGTTCAACACATTTGGGAGACTGGCTCTCCCAAATGAGATGTTAGAACAATGGCTATCACCCACCAACCAGGTAACTCGTTCCACCTCCATGGGGAGGAATAACTGACAGGACAGGAGGCCAGGAATGTTAAAGAACAATCCTCTGTGTGGAAGAAAACATCTAGAGTGGAAAAGAAACATGTTTCTAACCATGTAAATAGACCTAAGTTAAAAAATTGTGATTTCACTATATTGAGAGAAGGGGGCAGGTGGTCTGAGGGAACCAGATTCTCATCTATCATAGTAGGAGTTATATGGATGTGGCCTATAATTCATGAATCAGGAAATAGTGACATAAACATTATTTGGAGATACGTAAGTAACCCTTAGAAGAAATAAAAACAGTTGTACACTGATGAGTTTCCTCTGGGGAATGGGACTGGGGATGGGAAAGGAAAGGGTGGGAAGGAGACTCCTCTTTTCGTTCTAAGCTTTTCTGTTCCACTGGATTTTTCAAACCATATGTCTGTTACTTTAATATTATGTCAAATTAAAAGAGTCATGCTTTTTCAACTGGGAAATGCATACTCGGCAGTGGCTAGGTGGTGCCAGAAGTCACTGGATGCATTTTGGAACATCAGTTTTTCTTGAATATTTGTGAGAGGGAATTAAGTAATATAAGTAATTTAACTGAAAACATTTTTAAATAAAAACAAACTCTGATGTAGTCAAAAGCAAGCTTCTCTTGAATTTTTATATGAAATATGAGACTACAAAGAAACTCAGCTTTGCTACAGGTTACTTGCAGCTAAATGTCTATCTTTCCTCTTCCCATGAACCAACCCTCTTTTGCCATTGAAACATTTCCATTGAGGCATTGGAAATGCCTGAGAATGAGCAACATTTTAAAACAGTTCAGCACTTCCTAGATGATTACATAATTTCAGCAGTTATTTCTGATTTCCTTACTGATCTTATTGTCTTATTAATCTTATTTTCTTTCCTTTAATTTCTTGCTCTGAGCCCCTATGCTGATATGTTTTTCCTTCTGAACTCAGAGACACCCATTTATCAGTAATATGCATACATTTTCTTTATTGTTAGTAATAGAAATTGCTTCCCAATAAAATCGTCAAAGAAAAAATGAGCTACAAATGAAATTAACTTAGAACTTAGTCTAAAGTGTATTTAAGATACCCAGCGAGTATATCAAAATCAATATTGCTTCAACAACATTTGTTGAATACCTGCTAAGTGCTAAGTTTAGCGCTGAGAATACAGAGCTGTTTAAGGACCTCATTGTCTCATGGGCCTCCGTGTTAATGTAATTAATTAGGCTAAATGTTAATTAATAGTAATTAGCAGGGCTATTTACAGTGGCACCCACACCCCATGGTGTTTTCTGCTGTTTAGAGCAAAATTTGGAGTGGTCCTACTAAATAACCTGAAAGAAAAATGACTGCTCTTACTTTATCCTTAAGGAAAGGTGATCTCAAGAGAGGAATAGGTTTATCCAAAGGTCACCAGCTTAGGAATGGTAAAGCCAGAATTAAAATTCTATTCCCCTGATCCTTAAGCCACTACCCTTCCTACTTTCTCATGTTATTGAGCTTTCTAGGAGAAAAATTTAAGCCACATTACTTTTGTCAACCCTGCTAAAATATTTAATTTCTCTTTTTATATTTTATCATTAGTGAAGATTTTATACTATCCAACTTAAGATTTTGTATTAGTGCCTTTATAAATATTTACTGTGGTCTAATCATAGTAAATGAAGCTGCATGTGTGTGTATGTGTGTATTATTAAGCTAGATTCTAAAAATGAATTAAATGAGTCTAATTATAGTAAATGAAGGTGCATGTGTGTGTTAGATTCTAAAAATGAATTAAATGAGTGCTTTATTATCCAATTTTCATCACTCAAATGTAAAATATAACAGCAGCAATATGATAATAGTAGTTAACATTATTTATATGCTAACTCTGTGCTAGTCACTGAGCACTTGGTATTCATTGTCTCATTTCATCCTAACAGCAACCTGGTAAGATGATGCTGTTATCCTTTCTATAAGGATTAGGAAAATAGGGATTTGAAGGGGTTAAGTCACTTGCTAAAGGTCACATAGCAGATAGGTGTCAAAGCAGGCCTTAAAACCTAGGATTGTGATACTAGAGCCAGTGCTTTTAATCAGGCATCAGAAGTGGATGAAATTAAGCACTATGGGAAATTATGATATTTGACTTTATCTTTCTAGAACATCTTTATTTACTTTCAGTGGCGGGTGTGCTAGTTGTTTCATAGCTAAACAATTACATAGTATGAATAAGAATATAATTATTATGCATAAGAATTATGTTTTTAAATTAGTCCAATCCTGTTTCTAGCACGTGAGCCCTAGTTCAAATCCCAGCTATTTCAAAGCTACTTGTTAACCAATTGATATCACCTTTTAATTTCTCCACCACAATTTTATTACATAATTTATCATTAGTCTTCCTTGTGTTATAGATATTAGAATTTTTTATTAGCTTCTCTGCTAGATTAAGTTATTTACACAGAAACCATGACATATTTATCTTTATATGGCCCATAGTATCTCATAGAGTGAGATAATGTATGTGGAAACTCTTTCAAAACTCTTAAGCAATTAGAGACAGTGCGTAATCAATATTTACCAAGTGTATATTTTCTAAGATGCCTTATTGAGCTATAAGTATATTTTATGTTTTCAATAAATTTTTTTACTGCAATTTGTGTAAAACTTGTTCTTTTTGAACAGTTTTACTGACTAAATTAACTGTCCTCTGTGCCCTTTTAGTGTGTAGATGGGGTTTTAGGTGGTGAAGATTATAATCACAACAACATCAACCAGTGGACCGCAAGCATAGTGGAACAATCCTTAACACATTTGGTTAAGTTGGGAAAAGCTTATAAATATATTGGTAAGTATCAGTATCCTTCCTCACTGGTTCACTTGCCTTTGTCATTGTGATTTTCTCTGAATTTTGAGAAGGTATATGAACAACAGACCTTTAAGTTGGATACTAACAGGGTATAAAGGACTTCTGATTTACTCATTCAAAGATAATCTGTAATAATACTTAAAAGATGAAGATGTTTCACTACTCAAAGGCAGTTCGAGCTACTTGTCTTTGGTAGCATCACCCTTTGCATTTCCATCAGTTCTTTCTTTCCACTGAGACCCCCCCTCTTAGCTCAACTGTGTTTCTTTCAGTAGTCCCATGCCTCTTTATCTGTGATTCCACACAGCAGCTGTTTATAAAGTGGAACATTTCCTGCATTTCTTTTTTTTTTTTTTTTTTTGAGACAGAGTCTCACTCTGTCGCCCAGGCTGGAGTGCAGTGGCCGGATCTCAGCTCACTGCAAGCTCCGCCTCCCGGGTTTACGCAATTCTCCTGCCTCAGCCTCCCGAGTAGCTGGGACTACAGGCGCCCACCACCTCGCCCGGCTAGTTTTTTGTATTTTTTTAGTAGAGACGGGGTTTCACCGTGTTAGCCAGGATGGTCTCGATCTCCTGACCTCATGATCTGCCCGTCTCGGCCTCCCAAAGTATTTCCTGCATTTCTGTGTCTGAATTCTGCCCATGGTACAAAGCACAGAATTTGACTGATATTTTTCCAGCAATACAATCACCAGTGGTAATGGCAATGGTCAGAAAACCAACTGAATCCAGTGGGGTCAAAATCATGATGCTAGATAACGATGAGAGGCTTTTATTTTTTATTTTTTTTTCAATCTATTTGCTGAATGCTTTGTTTTCTGTGATTTTTTATTTTTATTTTTAAGGCTTGTAGAGCTCTGAACTCACACACTTTGACCTTGGTTCTCTTTCCCTTTGTCTGTAAGTGTCCTCATTCTGTGACTTTATTTGCAGTGACCTGTGCAGTGGTCCAGAAGAGCGCATATGGCTTTCACACAGCCAGCTCCTGCTTTTGGGATACCACATCTGATGGTAAGAGATCTTAAGCTGATTTACACAAAATCCAACTTTTAGCAAAGTCCAACTGCACTTTTTAATCAAATACTTATTTAATTCTAATTAAATTCTGAAAAGACTATCAACAGTATTGCTTTGTACCTAGTAACAAGTATACCTTCAGACCGATGTGAAATGTGAAAACTTAACAGGTTGAAGGAAATAAGATATTAAAAACATGAGAAAAATGTATATGTATATATATATACTCTGATAATTTTTATGTTTTGCTGGTATTTCAAAATCCTTTTTTTGTGTGTTTCAGGAACCTGTACCGTAAGATGGGAGAACCGGACCATGAACTGTATTGTCAATGTTTTTGCCATTGCTATTGTTCTTTAACTGACTAAAAATGTTGGGCTAAAACCGTTAACTTAGGAATTTGTCAGTGTATCCTTTCCAAAAAGAAGTAATAGTTGTTTACTAGTGTGCTAGATGACAAGCGTGCAATATGCTTTAAAGCTATCAACAAAAACTGATATTTATCAGCGAGCAATATCATAGTCATTGGCAGATTAGCTCATATTCTATACAGCATCATTTAAATAGGAAAAATGGAATGCTAGCAAAAAATAAATTTAGAAATATGGCATGACATGAAAATACAATCTTACATTTACACCAGCTTTTCACTAATATTTTGTACCTAAGGTGATGGGGAACTACATTCAGATGATAAAGTTCTCTTTCAGCTAGAGAAGTTAACAGGAATAAATATATGAACAAAAAAGCTGCAAGGATAAATGTGGAGAAAATGATAAGAATTAGCTAACATCTTTTAGTTTTGTAAAACTTTCTTCCCCTCACTTAGTTGTACTTAATATTTAGTGGAAAGTAATAATTTTTTTTAATTTTCTATCAACGAATAGGATAGTAACAACTATGATTAACTTGTTTACTTTTTATGAGGTTTAGTAAATCAATTTTTTTAAAATTTCAAATTTTTGGATTTACACTTGAGGGTAAATTAAATCTGGTAAACTGAATTTCCTAGTTAAATAAAATTAGTTGCAGTATGTGATGAACAGTATATGACTCAAACAGCTGCCTTACAATTCACTCATTCCATGTGGAACAAACATTTATCAGATGCCTATTATGGGCATACGTCTCTGCTAAGCACTATAGTTGTCAATGTGCTGCGCAAATGCTAAGTTCCTTTTAGCAGTTGTTCAGTTGGAAGACAAGTATTAATATTTGGGGAAGGAAAAGAAACTAGTTGTTTTACAAGGGAGGAAAAAGGTGAATCTGGTTACACATATAGAAGTAAGCAAAATGAAAAGCACTTACTGTTTTCTGACAGAATTATAGATGTAATTTTAAGAGTTGCTCCTAGCAAGTTAAAAGTGCATATAAAATATGCAACTCTTAGTTAAAGGCCTTATTATCAGTCTTATCTATACAAGTAGTAAATTTTGTCATTGCTTTAGTTACAACCATCTGTAAATAATTTAAAAGACTTATTATATGGGGTTCAAATTGAGTGGAATAAAGTATAGATTAAAAGTATACAATCATTAGCACGTTATCTCAGGGCTTATGAAATGTAATTAAATTTATTAAGAAAATAGATGAAAATTAGGGTACACAGCTGGCCACCAAATGTGAAGTCAATCTGCTACTTAACCCTGAAAACAAAATCAGTTTTGCATATTACCACTAACACTAATACATGTAGAGAGTGGAACCATAACTCATTGAATTTTGGAGAGGAATAAGCTTTGTGTTAATATTGACAATATTAAGGCAATATTCTTGTAGGAATACTATGTGCATGTTTGATATTTTGCCGAATAACCATAATTAATAATTGTTCAATGTTTAAGAATAGTAATAACAAAATAAAGGAGTTTAATGCAGTGATCTTTGTTTTTGGCACATCAAAAATTCTCAGTCATTATTCATGTTTCTTTATGCTGCTGGCTTTTGTGCCCTGGAAGATTATAATAGTGACCAAAATATATATGCAGACTTGTTTTTTATTATTGTTGTTTAAGCCTAATTTAAGAAAAAAAATTCATACCTCGTAAACTTGCTATCTGCTCTGTTTCTAGTTAAAATATAATAAATATTATCTTCCTGTGCTGTACTTTTGCTTCTGGATAATCATTTAATAGTTAGAGAAATGGCATTCTGCTTGCTATGAGAAATTCTAAATAGAAGAAATGCCGGGGATGGTGGCTCACACCTGTGTAATCACAGCACTTTGGGAGGCAGGTGGATCATTTGAGGTCAGGAATTTGAGACAAGCTTGGCCAACAGGGTGAGACCCCGTCTGTCTTAAAAATACAAAAATTAGCCAGGCATGGTGGCACACATCTCTAATCCCAGCTACTCAGGAGGCTGAGGCAGGAGAATTGCTTGAACCTGGGTGGCGGAGATCGCAGTGAGCCGAGATCACACCACTGTACTCCAACCTGGGCGACAAAACAAGATGAAAGAAAGAAAGAGAGAGAGAGAGAGAAAGGAAGGAAGGAAGGGAGGGAGGAAGGGAGGGAGGGAGGAAGGGAGGGAGGAAGGAAGGAAGGAAGGAAGGGGGCAGGGAGGGAGGGAGGGAGGGAAGGAGGGAGGGAGGGAGGGAAGGGAGGGAGGGAGGGATGAAAGAGAAAGAAAGAAAGAAAAAGAATATTATGCAGAATAAATATTAAAATAGCAGCCCAAATCCAGTACATTACAACATAATTAATAGCTTCTATTTTATGCCTTTTACTTCATGATTTTAACACAAAATTTCATTTTCATAAGTCAGTGTAAAAATATATTCTGTAACTACTAATTTTTAATGATTATTTTTTGCAAGGGATTCTGTCTTATTTGTCAACTTGCAATTGTGTTGTTGTTTTAAATTAACGACTTTAAGTTTGTAAAATTAGGGTGTTCAAAGGATTTTTGTAACATTCTAATTTTATGTTTGTAAAGTACCCATATGCTGCCTAAATGATGGCAACCTCGCATTACGATTTCTCTAGTGAAAGTACTTTCTGCTCTTCTTTCCAAGTTGAGTGTTACCTAATTATGAGTCATTGAATATATTATTACTACCTGCTTTCATCATCACATTCTTTAATCTTAGGATGTCCAGGATTATATTTTCAAAGTTTAAGTAAAAATAGTTCTCTATTTTTGATAACAGTTTTTTTTTTTAAGTGGGAGAAAAGTGTGTGACTTTTTGTGGCAGGAGTCATTCTTATAGCAGATACCAAAGCAAAGATTAAGGCTGGGCATGGTGGCTCATGCCTGTAATCCCAGCACTTTGGGAGACTGAGGCAGGTGGATCACCTGAGGGCAGGAGTTTGAGACCAGCCTGGCCTACATGGCAAAACCCTGTCTCTACTAAAAATACAAAAATTACCTTGGCGTGCTGGCGCATGCCTGTAGTCCAAGCCTCGGCCTCGAAATGCCGGGGTTACAAGCGTGAGCCACCCTGCCCATCCAAAAAGATCTTAAACATTCATCTCTTACAAGATTTAGATGACTATCATCAGTATGCCTTAACATCAGTAGTTTAGGAGACTCTAGCCCACTTTGTCTAGTTGCAAACTGTAATTCTCCCTGTGGTCCCACTGAATATCATTCCACATCATTCTTGGATATATATGATGTATTGACAATTCAGGTCTAGATAGAAATAGCCCCAATTGCTTCATGAAGAATGTCCTCTCCCCAAATGGCTTCTGAGGATCTCACGGTTAAAGCTAGCATCCTCTACAGACACTTGCAGGACTGCTAGTATGATATATCTTGTCCCTGTGGAAGACAAAATGTGGGCAACCACCCCCATTCTGGGATCCTTAAAAGATGAGAACCATATCAGAAAGTTCCTTCACAGCTACCCCCAACTGGGTCAGGGAATTTGTTGCCTGGGCTTATCTAGTAATAAATATTCAACTTTATGGCAAATGCATACCTTTTAATTTTATTGAATGCTTTATCTTTTTAGATACATTTTTCATGAATGCCATTGTCTTAGTCGGTTTGGGCTTCTATAACAAAATACCATAAACTGGGTGACTTATAAACAGTAAGAATTTATTTCTCACAGTTCTGGAGGTTGAGAAGTCCAAGATCAAGGCACTGACAGATTCAGTCTAGTGAGAGCCTGCTTCCTGGCTCATAGACGACGGCCTCTAGCTGTGTCTCCACAAGGTGGAAGGAGCAAGGCAGCTCTCTGGGGTCTCTTTTGTAAGGGCAGTAATCCCAATCATGAGGGCTCCATACTCATAACGTAATCACCTACCAAAGGCCCCACCTCCCAACACCACCACATTAGTATTTAGGCTTTGACATGAATTTGGATAAGACACAAACATTCAGACCATAGCAACCAGCTCTAACTTGAGATATTTCAATCTAGATTTCTCAGGGCAGAGTTTTAGATGAGGAAGTATTATTTAATGAAAATTCTGTCAATTTATTTTTATTTCTTATAAGGCCTTATGGAGAAAATCTCTTTGAAAATGATTAGATTGTGGTATGTACTGACCTTTCTATAACCTCTAATTTTGTAGGCTAGGAATTTGATATGGGTTAAGTTGCATGAATTAACATGGGCTTTTGCAGCTAATGCTCATACAGTATACCACCAAAAATAGTCAGGATTGGTGTAATGGGTTCTTGGTAATTAAACAAAGCAAACTTTTTTTGTAAAAGGCCAGCTAGTAAATATTTGAGGCTTTGAAGGTTTTTGCAACTACTCAAGTATGCCACTGTAGTGTAAAAGCAGCTGTTGACAAGTAAATGGATGGGTATGACTGTGTTCCAATAAAACTTTACATATAAAAATAAGTAGCAGGCTGGTTAGAGTTTACCAACCCCTACATTAGAGTAAGTAATGTTTTGTGGTCACTTTAAAAATTGTACCTTAATGATTTGAGCCTTTTTTTTTTTTTTTTTTTTACTGTTATAAACAATCGAACACAAAACACATTTACCTATTATGATTTTATCATCTTGGACTCAGAGGATCCTTATCAGTAAACCAAACTTGTGATCTCTTTATTGTAAGAAAGCAGGGCTATACATCAATTTTTCCAAAACTAGATTATTCCTTTTTGATACACATCACCTAACTTTTCACTAGATTACAGATTATTTTGTATCTTCTTATCTTGAAGTTTATTTTACAACCATATTTTTTGAAGAACATTATTATAAAAATTCAACACTTTGTGAGTGTTTTATTATTTTTTGCTTACTTTAGGATTAAGATGGGTATCTAGTTTGCCTAGAGAATTTTCCATGCATACTGGACATTGCAATCATGGCCCACTCGATACCTCCTGTTAGCAGAAATTGCGTAGCCCACAGATCAAATAATCCTGCCCTTCAGCTTGGGGAAACAGATGCTCTACTTAGAAGTGATTACATATTGCATTAGGCATGAGCACCTGACCCAGTGATGGATCATCCATAGATGGATTTTAAACCCCTAAGGCGGCAGGTACATTAGCTAAGCCAAGCAAACTAGTTCCCTCTGAATTTTGGATTAGAAAATAAGGAGAGTATTAGTCAACAGGTGGAGAAGAGTGCAGATGAAGAGAGAAGCAGAAACACTTGAGTCTGGTTAAGGATTAGCCCACGTTTTCTTAATGGCAGAGCTGTGGCTACAGATGCCCTCTCGTCTCTCTACCACTCTCCAATCCAGGGAAGACTGTCCAAGCTTCAATACTACTAACACCAGCAGCAGTATTGATAATGGTATCAGCAGCAATTGTGGCGGAGAGCATGATGTACTAGGCAGGAAACAGGTTGATGGGAATAGTCTACTCCAGCAGATGACAGAATTTCCAGCACATGGTGATAAAAAAACAGACCAGTAACCTAGACATGAGTGTTCATAACAGCTTTATAAGTAATAGCAATAATCTAGAAGCCACTCAGATATCCATCAATGGGTGAATGGCTTAACAAACTGTGGTACATACATATAATACTACCAAAACCAAAACCAAAAACAAAAAAACACTTGATATGTGCAACAAATAGCATGAATCTCCAGGGAACTGTATTAAGTATAAAAGTCAATCTCAGCCGGGTGCAGCGACTCAGGCCTGTAATTCCAGCACTTTGGGAGGCCAAGGCAGGAGGATCACTTGAACCCAGGAGTTTGAGACCAGCCTGCGCAACATAAGGAGACCCCCATCTCTACCAAAAGATAAATTTAAAAAGTGGCCAGTGTGGTGGTGTGAACTTGTGGTTCCAGATGCTTCGAAGGCTGAGGCAGGAGGATCGCCTGAGACCAGGAGGGCCAGACTGCAGTGAGCTGTGATCATGACATTGCACCCTAGCCTGGGAGATAGAGTGAGAACTTGTTTCAAAAAAAAAAAAAAAAAAGCCAATCTCAGAATAATACATACTGTATGATTTAATCTATATAAAAATTTTTAACCAATAGTTAAAAATGGAGAAAAGATTAGTGGATGTCAGAGGATAGAGATGGTGAAGGGAGAGGAGCCTCCTCCATCAGGAGGCAGGAGGGAATTTGGTATGGTTATAAAAGGGCAACACAAGGAATCCTTGTTTTGGAGCTGTTCGGTATCTTGGCTGTGGTGGTGGATACACAAACCTAGACGTCATAAAATTGTGCAGAACTAAATATACACACAAATGAGTACAAGTAAAACGGAGAAGTCTGAATAAAATCAAATTTTATCAATGCCAATATCCTGGCTGTGACATTGTGCTCCAGTTTTGCAAAATGTTAGCACTGGGGGAACTGGGAAACAAATACATAGGATCTCTCCCTATTATTTCTTACAATTGCATAAAGTCTATTTATCAATACAAATTTCAATTAAAAATGAAGGTGAAATAAGATAATTTCATACCAAAAACATTTTAAAAGCAGAGCAACTCTTGATCAGTTTTATTATTGTCTTTAAATTCCCTCCA